TTCATTCGCATGCCATGTTTCAGAATGACATAGAGGAAGTAAGAAAACGCTGTTGCTGAGAACCAAAATTGTGTTCTTTATGCTTTGTGGAGATGATTTTCAAATTTATTTCAGAGTGATGATAGTTTGTCTTCCCCCTCCGTTTATGGTTTCGACATCCTCATGTGTGTATTCCCCTTGTGAAAGAAATGAAATTACTAGAGAAAGGATGAAGTAACCTCTTTCAGAATTTATTTTTTTCATAGCGATTAGTGATTCTCGTTGTTGGTTGGTTGATTATCTTCATCAACTTCAGCCTCTCTGCCATCATTCCTCTGAGAACTCGGTTTTCGCCCTTATGTTTTCAAATTTGTATGACATCCAGAGCTCCTATAGTTTTCTTATCAGTCCGACTAACATATGTGTCTTTATTCCCCACAGTCACATATATCATTTCATTTTGGGTGTCTTCACTTCGGGTGCACTAATGACATGAGTGTTGTTAATACACAAACCGACACATTGACGCCTTCACTGAACTGTCTGTTATATGGATAACTCGTGTGGGTCAATGGTTAAGAAGGCAACCGTAGTCCGTTCAACGTTTCAAGTAATCGTTAGTACATACCCGGAACCTAATAGTCATGCATCAAATCTCAGCCGCACAGCAGTCAGTGACCCTGAAATCCCGGCAACGAGCTACGATATCTCCGACCATATATTCTCCCTCGAGACTGTTTGGCTGTCAAGTTACATCATGACAACCCACAATTCATATGGTATGCTGAAAGAATGTTCACCTGCCGATAGTAACTGGTGCTGGACTGCAGAATTCTTTCGAATCTCCAACCACTTCCCCTGTTTATGACGAATTAAAGGTAATGAGACATGTCACAACTATTCCTTCCAGAACACTGAAATACTCACAGCGTGGAACGAATCGCGATGCTACTGAAGGACACGTCGGAAACGGTGAGGGTCGTGCGAGTAGAACTGTGGGAATTCCTACCATTTCGTCCGAGTGTTCCACGGTTTGAATTTTGCAGATGCACATCTACAGCAACTGCTGTGGTTAACGTCCACATAAAAAAATACACTTCCAACAACTAAAATAGGCGTGAAACAGATTGTAACAACTCAATATTGTGATGAAAGTTCAAAAATATGAGATAAATAAAGAATTACCACACACCTTTCGCTGTGTCTTTCCCCTACATTAATCTTGTTATCCCATTCACATTTCGAAGTTTTCATCAGATCCAGTACAAGTTACCTTCGCTAAAAATCGACTCTAAAACGACTTAATTTGATTTTCGTCAGAAATAGCCGTTTGAATTGGAGAGAAACAGAAAATGACTTGATTGTGTCATGAAGCCCTAGTGAAATGAATAAAAGTTAGGTTAGATTCTACAGGTATATTTCGAAGTGGTACACTAAGACGCGCTAACCTGCATTACGTAACTAGATGTATTGGCCCACTCTGCAAAACAGACGCTTCTCTTATAAAAGCCATCTATGACTAACTTGCTATTTACTTCCACAGTGACACTCTTGCAAGATAAAAAGATGTGCTTCATCCTCTTCATATCAGTTTCAATCAGTCTTCGACCATGACTGTACATTATTTCATATAAATGTTCTAACCAATCGTCTGTTCTTTTGATACTTGATTCAACTCAATGCTGTCAGATGAATAATGCAAATGTCATTTTTAATGCTGACAAGACAATCTTTGTGTGGTCTGAATGACTATCATTATAACGCAACATTATTTGTGTTTCATCTTCAAAAGTGGTGCATACATTCAAAGTAACATTGCCGAAGGTATTACTGGTCTTCAGATCAAGTCATGAACGTCAGGTAACCATTGGAGCGCTTTATGATCCATTCTTACTAAAAGTGAATTAAATAAAAGATGAACGATCAACATTTTCTCACCTGTAATACAATAGCACATTTCTGCTCGACTCATTGAACGAATTATGTATTAATTGACACATTTTCCGTTTTCTACAACATGAAATGTTTTAATATAGTAACAGTTTCACAAAACGACAAATCTACGATGCTTACTGAGCAAAACTGCGCATCTTGCCTACATAATTTAGATTAGAGAAGATCAATATTTGATGTGCAATAGGCCATATGAAACACGGTTATGTAATATGGGGAATAGAATTCATAAGTTCAAGGAGAATTATCCCTTATAGATGTCAAAAGTTAATTAGATTAGAAAACAAAGAGTTATTAACGAATGAGTTACCAGGCTAACTGGAGTCCGACGTCAGATTCCTTTCTGATACATAAGTCAGGACACAGCTATTTTATTGCAAAAGGCACAGCAAACAGCAAAAGACTTACGCTATCTTGTCTGCTAATTATTTTGAATGGTGGTGGCGCGCCTACCCGTTGTTCTGTGTCTATTGGATGCTTGTTAATCGAAAAACTTAAACTGAGTAGACTATTTAAGCAGCAACGGTGTTATTATAAACAGCTGCAGGTGACATAAAATTGGTACTTGCCGACTTTTGACTACACCAACGAGGAGGACACTCGGTGAAGTATGACCAGGTTTGCTGCACAGAGGAGCACCCAATTGTTTTTACGGTTCTCATTGTATAATCTTCAGTGAAGTCAAGTTCGATTGGAACTTGTTTTTTGCTGACTATAACTGCTAACGGGTTTCTTGCGTTCATTCTCAGACACAATATCAGTGTTTTTACGAAGCATATTACGGTGGGTGATTACATATTGTAATGACCACTGGTGTGATAAACAATTATATTTTGCTAACAAATTTCACCCCTTATTTCATAGATCAATACATTCGGATACTCGAAATTAGAAAAAGCATATACAACGTGAGATTACAATGAAATTTTAGAGATATATAATGCATTGACTCCACCAATGCATTTTGTTGATAATTTTCTATAAAGGACATCCTGCTGACGAAATTCGATAATCTTAGGTTAGTTGAAATTGTCCAGGAATACCTTCTTAATTTTATTACAGATTTAAAAAGTGGAATTGAGTCAAATATGTAATGAGTTGTTATTTATGATATTTAGTATTCTTCTGAGGTCCGGGTTAATCTTGAATTCATTCTATCGTTGACACTCCTATTTAGCAGGCTACACGACTTCATGTCCTCCTCATATGGTCTTTACCATGTCCTCCTCACAGTCACGCCCAACTTCCCGCTTCCTATATGAGTTCAATGTCATACCTAGCGAAATTAATACGAAGTTGAGCGAATCTATTCAGAGGAATATTTACGCCGCAAAATTCAAGTTGTATTATCAATACGACCGGTGTTGATTCCTTCATTGAAAGATGAAGTACTTGGAATAGCTGGTCACCTATAATCATCTATACGAATTTAACTGCGTTTGTGGTGGGTCAAATAATATTGGACGATGTCATTATTTTTATTTCAAAACACTGGGAATACGAACCGTCGTCTGTTCATGCAAAATGGAAAGTGCTTGGTTGCGCAAAACACGAATTACTGTGGAAGTTGCACAATACAATACAAAAGAGACAAGTGACGTGAAACGAATTTCAGAGAACTGGCAAATACCAGTAATATATTCTAGAAACAATATTTAAAGTGCGCCAACACGAAAGAACAGATATTCGATTGCATTCATGTGTATGTGTTCACTTGCTTCTTGAATAGTAATATTGGATTGCAAACTATATGAAATGTGATTGGCTACTTTATGATAATAACGCTCAAATTATGAAGTTATCTCAAAATAAAATCTACACTTTATATCGTGAAATAAATTCCCATCTTAAATGAGAAATAAATTTCTTACTCAGAACTCCGTTTAATAAAAACTAAAAACAAAGGTGTGTAATTATCAAATCTAAAGCTGTGTTCAAAAAGCCAACTGAAATACGATGACGTAAATTGCAGGCTCATCACTGTGTTTTCGAACATCATCCAGCATGGTTAGGCAAGAGACTTACGAGATCTATTTATAGCTATGTTTTAGCACACCTTGTAGACACAGATCATAAAGGTGATTATCGCATTTCTACTTATCTTAAATTTGCTTTACGAGTTCGTCTTCTATGCACAGCTGACACAATATGAATACACATGAAGAAAGTCCAGCCTGTGTGTGTTAGAAAAAGGTCGTGCAGTCGCTTACCTTCTTCTAGCGACCGTTACATGAATGTAAGGAACTGAAGAATTCAGCGCCACCCTTTCAGAATTTGTAGTTTTCTTAATAATTCGGTTTGCTTCATCTTCTATTATTTATTAAGTAATCAACTCGAAAACTAACTTGTCCCTCAGTTACTATTTTTCAAAATCTTACCCATTATACAGTATAATTGTTTGATTTTTGCAATTACTCCCACCTCATTGTCGTTGCAATAATTTCCTAGGTTAACCATCACTTCCGCTAACGTGTTCATTTGGACTCATTAGTATAAACCAAATTTCAGAAAATAGCACTCACCATACCCACTTTTGGTGAATGCTCAACACTTATTTGTAGCTGGAACATAATTTTTCAGTGTCAAAACTACTGAAATCCACTAAATAAAGCATCGTTGTAAGGTGTCTGAACTGTCACTTTAGACATCGAGAGGTCTCTGACAAACTCTTCTTACTCGTCACAGAAGATGTGCACTATTTGTTACGGTGGTGGTTGATGTTGAGATCCCTGATTACGGTGTTTCCCTTAGGCACACTGGAACCATATAGCCTGCAGTCTATCGAGTCGCTTGATAAATATATGTATATATATATACATAGCGTATCTGAAACGCACTGATAAAGTATTATCATGACAATTTTACTATGGAGTAGACATATTTTAATGTAACATATTATGCTCTTCACTCTCTGTAGTATCACAAGACTTGTGCTTAGTAATATAGCGTGGCGTAGCATCAAACCATCACGCCATCTTGAATTCATGGCGATAAACTGGCGAAATCACAATAAATCAGAAAATCGATGAAAATTTGATATCAAATTCGATTAAACGTGAAAAAAATATTTTAACGTATAGAAAAAGCTTTCACAGAACAAAACGGTCTATTCATTATCGAGATCAAAGTTCAGATGGTTTTAAATTTTTAATGAATGAATCTAATATAAAAGTCTTGAATAACTCCTTTATTCATGGGTATAACGATTTCAAAAGAAAGACAGGTAAGTTGTGAGTGACAGCTGAATTTAAATCTCCGTTAAACATTTTAACTTTGTTAATATCTGCATCTTTATTAACTTGTTCATGCTAGCAGTTTTAATGAAATTGTATGTACTCTACCCGATAGATATTTAGGAATGTTTATGCTCATGAATGATACTTGACAATAATTCTGCATCACATCTAATTAGATTCTTGAAAGTAAGATCACTGAGTGACTTTTTCTATTAGGGAATCTTCTGAGTAACATTGTCCTGATATTTCACACAATTATTTAGACATCAAGTGCAAGGGATGATGTGGTATGCATGTTGACCAACAGACAATTGACAGGTTTTGATAAAAATGACAAAAAACATGGAGTAGAAAAGACGACACTTGGGTTACTTCTCGCGTGTCTTTCCGATCGGCAGAGGTAAGTCGGTCCAGTGGCATGTTACTATCTCGTCGATCGAAATTCAAAGCGGTCTTAGAGGACATTTATGTAGGTTGGGCGGAAAGTCCAGTGGTGCAAATTTTTCGGTTGAACGTTGGTCTGAAATACCCAAACTCCGAAAGAACACAACTAAAAAGACAAAGTTTCATTATCAAACGTAGCCCCATCGTATAGCTTACATTTTAACTTCAGCATACCCTAGTGTTTATCAACCACCTGGGGGAGAAATTAGGTCTAATATGTTTTATTATTAGTGATCCTTATATTGATTCGTATAACAAAGAAGTGTAGAATCACATGAGAGAATCTCATATGCAGACATATAGTTTAGCTTAGAAATTGTTCACTGACATAGATGATGCTACTTGAACGGGAAAGTAATTCCAGTCATTGACTACTCTATGAGAGAAGCCTAATTTCACTGGTTTCTTATTCATCTGCAGTTTGAGCATATTTTCCTGGTCACCTGGGAAGATATTCTGAAGAAAGAGAAAAGTTCAGAAAGGCCAATTCCCAAACCAGCCTCTGACATGCGGTATGACATAATCAAGTCACCTCTCCTCCTTTGGTATGATAATAGGCAAACATTTAAAAGTTTCGCCCTCTTCTTACAAAAAAAGTGTGAGATACCACTGATTACAAATTTGGTTCTAGCTGTCTGTTCTTTACTAAATATATATGCTTCCTTCTTGAAATACAGGTAACTGCTTCTCTCTTTACAGAATTCTGAATGAGACCTAACTTATAAGTATACCACTGTCGCAATACATATGGAATCAGAAACCAACACTGCTACCTTTCTGATGCATCATATTAAAAGTTGTCTGGTCTTTCAGAGTTCAGGTCCCACTGAAGTGGAAACGGCAGACTGCCAGTTAGTTATTTCAGGTGAGTAAATATTATTATGCTAATAAGTGTTTAAATATTCTGTTCCCCATGCCCCTTCTCATTATGCACTAGTCACTATTGAATCCATTCAGCCTTAAAAACATCGTTTCTCTTTAATGAATTTCATCGAACTCTATCTATAGGCGAAGGCGCGAGATATGACAGTTCGAGAAAACTGCACTTGAGTGGCCACAATTTATTCTTACTCTGGGTAAGAAAACAATATTTTGTTTTGTTTTCATTCTCCTTAATATTGCCTCACACAGATGATAGCTGATACGGCGTTAATGGTACTAATTACAGTAGGTATGCTTGTAATGGTGAACAATGAGTAGGAATAAACATTCAAATCATAAGATAAAATAAAATAATTTAATGCTCTTCAGAGTGGAGGTGAATGAATGGATTAGATTGAACAGTTGGGTGAGAATCATTCTGATGTAAGTAAATTTTTTGTATGATAAATAAACACGTTGAGCACTTTAATGTTTTTCAATTGTTTCGTCAGATGTTTGCTTATCGATCATATTGTGATATTGAGAGACTTCAGAGCTCCGAGAAGAACACAGGGCTACATTAGTGCATTTGCAGTTCATCCTGTTCTCCACAATCTTTTTCCAAGTGCGTCTTGATGTTTATCTATTTCTCGTAAGTGCTCCGTGTCAACCTGTGGGACAAGCGCCACTCTTCTTTTTCAGCAGTAATTGTTTGGTTGCTTTCTAGAATATTTTCTGGCGCGTCTTTTTTGGAGGACCTTCCGAACTTCGGAATTATTATTCCACATTTTATAATATTATTAAAATTGCATACTAATGCTACCACGTCACCACAGTTAACTAATAAAGTTACCATCCTGATTTTGTTGCTAACTGACTGCATTTCAACAGAGGACCTGATATTGAAGTTCCACCTGTCACTTTCCTTGAAGCAAAAAGGATAGAAAGAATGAGAGGGAAAATAAGAATTCAAAATGACTGTTCTCAGCAGAAAATTGAGGTAGAAAGAATGCTTCCGTGGAGGAACGCTATGGTTTGACGGTTATTTGAAATCACAAATTGTGAGTGCATCTTTCGCAATGCAATGGATATTGAGTCATATTAAAAGCTGTCTCATGTCGATAATCTTTAGTATCTCAATGATATGAACCCGTAAGCCCTCACCTCCTGACGTGGTTGGCTCAAACTAACTGCCGTAGATTAATGGACTGATTCTTGGCTTCACTTTTACCCCACTGAATCTTCTGAAACCTAATCCTCTGTCAGCTAGTATCATTTGTCGGTGAAGGCGTTTCCCAGGGCTACTTACTGCATGCAAGGCCATCTCAATCAGTGTTGATCCGAAACCTCATTGATTGACTTTCCCTCCTAGCTTAATACCAGGCGCCTACACCCAATGCCACTTATCATAATATACCACCTATCACGGGGAGAGAGTGCAGATAAGTATGGTCAAATACACCTCAGTAGCAGCTGCATATCTTCCGATTCCAATGATCAAGTCTCACAGTCATAAAGGAGGATGGGGCGAAATGGTGAACAAGACGCATGTCCCTTGTTTAGTATCCTGTTATTACATAATCCGCTTTGCTTGCACGAAAAGTGTCACATTTATTCTCAGGTGAATGTGTCGATTTCACCATAATTCCTCAGTACTGTTAACACACAAATGATTTCTCAGTTCATCACTTCGCCTGTGCCATTTCTTTTTTCAGAGTTCTAGGATGTGTTCCAATTCTAATTCTCATGTTAGTCAAGGCACTTGGATATGGCCGGGAAATCGACCATTATCTAATAGGATTCAGTGTAAGTATTCTATTCTATTGTTGAACTGTTTATTCAGTAAATATCTCAACGCCTAATGAAAACAAATGTTCTTAATCCATAACGTTGGTTGTTTTCGGGTTTAAAGACTGCAGTACATGCGTATACATTCTCATCATAGTTGGTGTTTCTTTTAATATCTTAGAGTGAATACAAAGATAATGACATATATTACAAATGCGTTAAATGTTAAGTGGCACAGAAATCGCAGTAATCTAAATCAAAACAGAACTTACGTACATATGAATATGACTCGTGTGAAAATGATTTACAGTCACTACCAAATACAAAAACCTGTACACGTCGGTATGCACGTATGAATGAATGTTTCCCCGTGAAACTGGTGCACTATATCCTATTAGGAAGTGTGACTAGGTAGTCGCCTCGATGAGAGGCACCAGTATGAGATTAAGACATAGAGAGAGGTCACAACTACTTACCGTCAATGACAGTGTGATTGATACAGCGAATTAATTCAGGCACACAGTCTCGTAAAACAGAGTTTGAGTATATTAACTGTTTCTTCAGCGTAGACAATCGAACGTTACTGCTGTAGGTGTTTATAAGACTACATTTTATCAGCGTCTTCACCTAGAGGGACTCTATCATCCGCATATTCTCAGTCAACGAGATTATTCCCTGATATCAAGTCAATCCCTGAGTCTCTGAAATGAGTTAGGGTTAGGTCCATTAAAAAATCTATGATGAAATTGAATAGAAATGGGGATAGTGAACATCCCTGTTAGATGCCACTAGTTGTCATTAGTTCAGATGACAACTCACTGTAAGCTCTCACCTGGCTGCATGAGTTCGAGTAGAGTGCCTTGATCAGTGCAATGTGTTTTCCTGCTTTATTTTCACAGCCACACATCGTCAGAGGACCCCTCGGTCGACAGTACCGAATGCCGCTTTCAGGTCAAGAAATATGAAGATTATTGGACGTCGTTAAGTATGCCTATGTTCCAGAATCTGTCGAAGGGTGAAGATATGATCATTCCAACCTCTGTCCAGTCTAAAACCTGTCTGGTTTCCTCGCTTTTGTTTCTCTCCAGCACCACTCATTTTACGCATGATTACTGAACCGAGAATTTTAGGTATTATATTAACCAAGCTAATCCCCTATAGTTATCACAGAAAGACCTGTCTCCTTTATTGTATACTGGATAATTAACTACATACCAGTCCAACAGCGATATCTCTGCATCCCAGATGTTGCTTGATAGCTTTCTATTTCTTCCTCTCCTGGACTATATACTAGGAGTTGGCTTCAGAATGACTGGGATACGTCATGGATAATAGATTCAGCTCATCTCATGACTGCCTAATTGTGATTGACTGTCCTTAGAGATGAATGGATATTGACGTTGTATCACGTATTGAACGATTTCTGAGAGATCGATAATGACTCCGGCTTTGAAACTGTCGAATGTTATTAAGTAATTTGATCACTTTATTACGAGACAAATACAACTTAGTATATTTTTCATAAGTATGCCAATAATCTTACATAGATATAGATGCTATTCTGCCTGAAGTATTGCGTGTTAAGGTATTTAAAATAGTGATGAAACGAAGCAGCCGTATAATAACAGCACATTTATCTTACACACATAATGTTTAAGAGATTCAACGTTAAGTGATTAACAAAGTCTTTAACTAAATACGAGGTGAATATCTAAGATATCTATTCCGAATTTCAAGTTGAGGTAGATATTATCTACTAATATAGAACACTGACTTTCTACACTAAATATTAGTCCAGGTAACAAATTTATTGATGTAGAAACCATAAAATATCGTAGTTTGTGAAACTAAAATCTCCTCCCTATACCTGAGAGGGCAGGTATTCTTAAAATGACGATTGTGATATCTTTTTCAGTAGTACATATCTTTCCCATCGAACAAACCTGATATTTTCAGAACCCCGTAAGCTTTCCCTTCAACGTTTTGGATTCGGCAAAGATACTCAAAATAGAATTTCGCCAGAAGAGGATATACATTCGTTGAATTAGTAGCACACTTCAAAGACGGTCATTTCACAGAGAGAGATATCCTTCCAGAATCCTTCACAAATCCTTTCTTCCTCGAGGCAAAAGTGTTGGAGAATGAATCCCAATTCATGATATTTGAAACGCTCCGTGGAGTTTTGTCATTACTGAAGAAAATGCGACAAACGTTTGTGTAAAACGTGTCATCTGACATTGTTTAGAAACTAGTCGACTACAATTTTTAAGGTTTCATGCTGAAATTAACAACATCCATTTTGAGAAAAAAACATTTCACAAAGACTTTAATTAAACATTGAACTATCCACATTATATGTATATATCTATGGCGTCATACAGAATCACAGGAAACGGTTACGACTGAAATTAACATTATGGACATTGGTTGCATAGATGCAATTATCTGTTCCTGAAATCTAAATCTTGTTTACATGGCGGATATGAAATAAACCCAATGGAAATCTTGTTCAAATTTGGGTCAGTTGCTGACTGATCAAGACAATGTTTAGTCATCTCACGTTAACGAACGTTGTTGTGATTAGGAATGTAAAAATACAATGTGTTTTGACTGAATGAAGGTGTCGTGGCACATCATGGAATGCCCTACCACCACGAGTTAAAACGCTGGCTGACGCACTCCGTCACCCGCTAAGCCAATAACTAGACTGATAAAGAAATAAGGTTAAGCAATGAGGCTAGTAATCCTTTCCCATAGAATGAATACCGCTTCTACTGAAACTTCAAGCCTCTAGCTTGAAGCCTTTTTTCCACTGGGAACGAAACATCTATGAAATAATTAGCAAAATTTAAAAAAATGAATCACTTATTGAAGGTCATTCACACATTTTTTGTTCTTCTTCTACCATCATATATATATATATAAACATTTATATTTACAATTTTACCCTATCACAACGTACTAACATAATACTGTATACGCTTCTAGTACATACTGTTGTCAATGGGATTCGCCACTTTTTTCTGTGAAATCGTTTCTATGTACGCCTTGATATCCGGTGGTGTAACACTAGTGGTTACTGCACTCGTGATCATTATAGCTGTGAACGTACGAAGTTCCATTATCCTAACCATTATCATCTTTGTGTTTATGGTTATTGCACTAATCATTGGAACTGTCCTGTTTATTGTTCAAATATCAAAAAATGACAAACACGTAAGTTTTAAAAAAGACAGAATTTTGTCACAGCGTAGTTCATGCATAAATATTCACAGGTACATATATGTGATTATTATTATTTCCTTTAATTTCTAGAGGAACAGTAGGCTTCAGGCGGACGTCACTCTTGTGTTCCGTCTTCTGCTAAAGTTTTCACCTGGCTTAAAGTCTGATTACATACTTTCATCTCCTCTTAATACGACCTCCTCCAAGTCATCCTTGGACGACCAACTCACCGCTTCCCTATCGGGTTCAAATCGTGGGTTTTTCTAGTGATGCCACTTGATGGTTTCCTCAGAGTATGGCCAATCCACCTTTATTTCTTCCTGCTTATTTGTTGCATAATCGGTTGGTTTTCTCCCAGATATCCCTGTTGCTGATGTTTTATGGACATTTGATCTTGAATAATGAGCGAAGATAGCTGTTGATGAAGGTGTGTATTTTGTTTGAGATGCTCTTTATGACATGCCAATTCTGTGATCCGTATAGTAGCACTGATTTCACATAGAAGTTGGAAATCCGGATATTGTTTTTCATGCTGAGTGCTGTTGACCTCCACACAGAATTGAGAGCAATGAAAGCTTGTCTTGCTCCCTTGATTATTGCTTTGATATAGTCGTCAGTTCCGCCTCTAGTTGAAACAACGCATTATCCAGTCCACCGAACTCAGGAAAATCATTCCCGATAGTAGACAGCATTGCCGTAGTTCCGTCTTCAATTCGAAAGATTTCGTCAGTTTCGCATTGTGGATTACTTGGCATGCAGCACTGTCGTACAACTGTTGGATGAGATGTATAATTGTTGTCGGCACCCCATAGTAGCGAGGTAGTCGCCAAATCACCTCTCGATCAACGCCAAGCTATCGAAGGGCTTTTCAAAGTCGATGAAGTTGAGATAGAGAGGTGACTGCCATTCCAAGCTTTGTTCAATGATGTTCATTAGTGTGGCGATTTGATCAAAACATGACTTTTTTCTTCTGAACCTAGCCCGTTCCGGTCGAATTTCTTCTTACAGGGCTTATTTGAATCTTTCAAGGATGATGCGGCTCAGTATTTTGTTTGGGATGGACAGTAGCGTAATTCTGCGCCAGTTTTTGAATTTACTCGAGTCTCCTTTTTTAGTTTGAACAAGAAGCTTTGTTCTAATCTCCGGGTACCTTGCCCTTTTACCACACCTTCTCGGGTAGTGGTGCCATCAAGTCAGCTGTTGTCTCTGGGTCCATTTTCAATGCTTCTGCTTGGATCCTGTCTGTTCTTACTGTTTTTTCAGCTTTCAGCATTTTGATTGCCTTCATGACTTCTGTTCTCGTCGAGGGTTGATGTTCACTGGTGTTTTTGCTTCCGTTGTTGGTATTATCGGGCGCGTTGTAGTTGGCGGTCGATTCAGAAGTCTTTTGAAGTGTTCACTCCTGTGTTTCCTCGGCCTCACCTGTTTGGTGATTGGCTTTCATTGTCACCCTTCACTGCCTTATTTCTGTTGGACTACTCCTTGATAAATACCTAGTTGCTTGGCAGAGTGTTGCGATGTTTCCTTTGCCTGCAGCTTGTTCTGCTTCATTTGTCATAGCTTTATAAAATTCTCATTTGTCTTCCTTGAAACCTTTTTTACTCAAAGTGCTGTAGCTTGCATTCAGCTTCTGTTATTGTTGCTGGTCAACGCACTGGACAATCTGTTGTTTCAGCGTCCTTCTTCCTGCTGTCATTCTCCATGTGTCCATGGTGAGCCACTGTTTGTCCTATCTCTTCTCTTAGCCAGTTGTTGTCCCAGTGCTTTTCGACGCTGATCTCTTCGCTTGTGTTGATTTGTGTCTCGGCTTTTTCCCTTATGCTTTCAGTGAATATGTCCTTTGTATCTTGGTCCTTCTGTTTTTGAGTGTTGAACTCGGCTTGCGGTCTATCTGCAGCTTCTGTTTCCCTGAAAGCTTTTAATTTGATTTGGATTGTCCCTTGTATGGTATAGCGGTCTGAGCAAACGACTGCACTTCTTCCTTATTTTGTATCCAGTAGGCTGCGCCTCCACTCCCTTGAGATTGAGATTAAGTCAATTTGGTTTTTGGTTCGTCCATCTGGTGACACCCATATAGCTTTGTCGATATTCTTGTGTTTGTATCCACTGCCAACAATCACTAGAACATTGAAGGCATTGAATCCGGCGGAAAGTTCTCCATTTTCATTCATTTCTCGGAGAGTTTCTCTACTCATGATGAGTTTGGTCCCAGTTTGATGTTCATGTCTTCCAATAGTATTTTAATGTCACCAACTGGAGTATTTTCCATTGTTGCCTGTAGTTGTCTGTAGAATTCTTCTTTCTTTTCGAGGTCTCCGTTGTTTGTGGGTGTATAACATTGTAAAATTGACACTTTCCTTCCTTTGGAGTTGAATCTGGCTGTCATTTTCTTGGACGAGATCGCCTCCCATTGCATCAGGGCTTTCGTTGCTGTTGGTGACATCATGATAGACACGCCCTTGGTGTGCGGGTAGTTGGTTATCTTTTGAGTGACTGGAGTAGACCACTAACTCACCCGTCGTCAATTTATTGAGTCCATTCATGTTCCATCTGCTTTCACATATTCCCAGTACTTGAATTCCGTATCTTTTCATCTCGTTTGCGATCTGGGCAGCTTTGCCAATCTCGTACATGGTGTGGACGTTCCATGTCCCCACACACACTTTTTCTTTTGGCGCAAGGAGATTCATTGTACTGAAGTTTCTGTAGTAGCTTTGTTTGCAGGGTGGAGTTGCTAGCCCCACACCTGAGAGGGGGGGTGTCACATTAAAATATAGATTACTGAAAAGTGACCTTGTGAGTTGCTCCTTTTAAAATGAGGAAAACAAGGAATAAAACAATCGGAAGAACACCAGCAAAAGGAAAATAATTAAAAACAGGTAGAGCAACAAGCGACAACAACAATAAAAAACCTCAGCAGTAGTATTGCAGCCAGATGAAGTTAACAAAAATGATACCAAAATCAAATACTCACTGACTTGAGCCGACTTAGACGTTTAAATCCATCAATATATACACCTATAGATAATAGTTAGTGCTAGACAGTCATAAAATGGCTAGCAGATAGTTATAGGTATTATCGGTCAACAAGATTATATCCAAAGTGTCAGTATTCGAAAAGCAAATAATAACAATAAATTCCTTAACTACTTGGCAAGAAATTCCACAGAAACAAGACTTTTATGTAACTGAGTAATTGTAGAGTGTTAATCGAAAAGCACGTCAGGGTCAACACTAGATCGTATATTTCTGAAGCCTCACCGAATTAAATATGTATTTAACAAACAAACCTAACTCTCTAAGAAGAACACTAGGGGACACATTGATTCAGTGCTAGTTACTAATGATGTGCGTCGGTGGCACAGTGGTTAGGACTCTCGCCGACCATGCACGTGGTCTGAGGTTCGAGCCCTCGCCTACGCACACCTGATGTCTATGGTCAGCCTGAAAAATTTGGGCTACCGATATCCACGCTGAAAATTCCATACTTGTACCAAAAATACAGTGTGGAATCAAGCTGTAATAAAAAAAAATAAAAAAAATAAAAATAAATGTTTTGAAAGTAACTCGCTGCACAAGGTACTTATAAAACTGTGAAACTTCCTTTATGTAGTTTTCTGATTGTTTACCCTCTGATTTTTGTGATAGTAATGTCGTCTTTATCTCTTGTGTCAGAGTTTCTTCGTTTCTATGGCATGTAATGGATAAGGTTCCGTTGAACAAAGATTCAACGATCAACTTGCACCCCCCCTCATATAACTATATTTATTTTTAAAACTTTAACTCTATCCAAGAGTGTTTTATCACTGTGTGTTAGTGCACGTAATTTGCCTGATAAACCTCCATCCCATGTATTCATCATTTTGAGGTCAGGGATTCCACACTCAGCTAAATTCCTATGTTCCGATATTCTCATAAAACCTGAACCTTAGCATGTGCAAAGATATTAGAGGGAGATGTTAGGCGCAGGGAAGTACACAAAGTTGAATCAGCAGTGATTTCGGCAATGATCTAGGCTTTTAGTCTCAAAGTCTTCTTTCTGAAATATTCAGTCTAACTGAATTCAGAGTGTGCATTCCAAATTATTTGATTTCACTTGGGCTTTAATTTGCATTGTTAGTCTTTTGATATTTTTCTTTTTCTAGATAGCTTACAGGATTGGTGTTGCAACTTGTTTCGGTATCGCTGTGGCGTCAGTAAGTTTAAATCGATTATCTTCACACAATGCTTTCATTGAGGTTATCTTGAGTAATTCTTTTATAATTAGATTCTGTTATAAACTTTTGTTAATTGACAACAGTAAAAAATATGCGAATAATTGATTTTTCCAGTGGAATGGAATTTTGTGAAGAAACTTGATCGAATTTGTTTTTCAGTAAAAGCGAAAGAACCATTCCTCAGTATTTCATTGGTAGAAATGCTAAGTAACCGGCTATTCTAGTCACTGAAAGAGACCTTCTTCACAGCTGGACTTCGAGTTAATTTTATATTGTGAATGTAATTTATTCCGTCTTTGCACCCTAAGTAATGCTACTTCTCGATGGTCTTCAACCTTTTCGTGGTATTGTTTTATAGCATAGGTTCATAGATTATTTTGTGACTGTCCTTTCTGCATAAATGCTTAAGAAACGAACTGGAAATGGATATATGTGGTTGCAGATAATATGACCGGTTCTTACACTCTCATTCGTCTCTCCTTCTGCTATGACCTACTAATAATTTGCCAGCAGAATTGCTCAATTTGAAGCATGCATTTAGCGGTCGATTACGTTTTGAACACATTTAGTCGCCTTTAAATGAATTTAAATGACGCGACGGCTGACTAAGAAATGACTCAGAGCACTCTCAACCGAATAACGATGATTTCCTCAAGGGTGACTGAGCTCTCGTCATCCAAGGTTGACTGAGTAATTCGTACGCTACATTATTTGACTTCTTTGACACGATTCCAGACTGTCACTCGGTATTATCGGCTGTTGCATATTATGAATTATCCAATCACATCACTGCATTTGTAGTTACCGAGTCTTTAAATGTTTCTGTGCAGTGCTCTGAGTATCACCGTGAAGGAACTCAACTGAGAACTTTTAATGGCGGAACAACGAAAGAGTTACACATGCCTTGCAATATAATATAACCTTCGAAACCAATCGCACCCCAATCCGTGAAGGCATTTCGCGGACTCTGATTTTATTGATCCCTTCTTTCAATGTCTCATTTACCTCTCAAAGATTTTTTAAAGTGGCAATGTTTTTATTCTGTCATGATGAAGTTTGTATAGCTCATGTTTATTAGTATTACTGTCCCCTTGTTGTTTAAGTGCAACATATAGATTCAACACCATAACTTCACTTTCCCACGTTGTCTTAGATGCTTTTTGGCTGGACCTAAGATTGAGCATAATTTCTTATCCGAGGCTGACGCAATTTCCTCCATATCAGACTACAAAGTCCCAATCTTCGTTCCCCAATACGATTCAAGAAGAGGTTATGCCTGTCACGTCGTCTCAGCCGACAGTCCATTCAGTGTGTGTTCTATCCTTCACCATTTTCTTGGAAATATTTATTGATAGGTAGCTTCTTGGTTGGCTTTTGTCAGAGTTTCGTGCTGCTAATTCTTTCTGGTCATATGTTCTTCACTGTGGCGCCAGTGAAGGCAGATTTTTATACAAGACTGCAACATGCTGAAAGTACTTTCAGTGGCGCAAAGTGCAAATTTCTGACACATATAGAAGAAATAACCTCAATTTTGTTTTGAAAATGCTAATCCTGTGATTGACAATGAGTGCAGCAGTTTACAAACTGATTTTAGCTTGATGGGGGTGTATCTTGCCTTTCCGATTCACAGCTTAATTCGTCACCTTTTAGTCGGAAAGATGTTTTCCAGTTAAGGGAAGTACGTAACCTCTTTTGTGTTTTTTCCGTTGATACCGACATGTGTTGATTGTTGTTTTTGTGCTTGGTTGGTTATCTTCATCACGCCAGTCTTCTCTACGTTTACCCATTATCCTGTGTTTGCTGTCTACCATTTCTGCTGGTCTGTTCGTTATCCCCTGTAGGTTTTCGGATTTGTGTAATAATAAACATAAATCACCCGTGAAATCTAGACCTTTGAGATGTTCTTATCGGTCTTCGCAATCCTGGTTGTCTTCTGAAAAACCAGGTCCACCTTGAATAGCGAATATCGGTGATGATAGGCAGTTATCTGAATCGTGTATTCACTTCAATCATCTCACTGAAATTCCATTAAACATCACCTGATAAGTGCCATTTTCATATAGCTCATGAATTAGCTAAACAAAGATTCAGGGCTTTGCATGCAATGCTGCTGAATTACTTTCCTGATTACTTCGTGGTCAGCTCTGTCAAAGGTCTCCCGAGAGTCGATGGAGTTGAGATAGGGGGAGTTTTGACCACCATTCTTTACTTTGTTTTCGTGACGATAGCTCCTAGAGTTGCAATTTGATCAGCACCTGATTTGCCTTTCCTGTACTAATTTGTTCCGGCTGGAGAAGTCCTGAATCTTGTGGATCTTTTATTCTTTGCAAGATGATCCAACTTGGTATTTTACTTGATGTGAACAAGATCATTATTCACTCCAGTCTCTGTACAGACTTAACGTTGCCTTTCTTCCAGTTAGCAGCCACTTTTCCATGCTTCCGAACTCTTGGTGACAATAGCGTCAGCATATCCACCTCAGTCTCTGAGTTTGTTTAAGGTGCATTGGAGGAACTCTTTCTGGCTATACTGTCTTCCTGTATTTCTCTAATTTGAATTCATTTCACACTTTTGCTTCGTTGGACGTCCACTGACAAGCAGCTTTTGAGTATTGTTGAAGATGATTCTGGGCTAGTTGCGGGTGATGTTCAATTCAAGATTCCCTTGAACTGATCAACCCATCGTTTTTTTACCAATTCATTGATAATCATGTTGCCTTGAACATCGTTTATAGTTTTGATCATTTGCGCTGTTCACTTCACTGATATATACCTAGTTATCTGATATAGTGTCGTGATGACTCTTTTGCCTTCGGGCTGCCTGTTATGCTTCAAGTGCCAGCCGGTGCGTCGTAGAATTTTAATATTATACAATAATACAGATGAAATCTCGACCATTAAAGACCTTTCATTAGTCTACTTTTATTATTTCTGAATCAAACATTTTCCATGATGGGTCTATGAATTATACAAATAAGTGACAGAATGAATACACTATTCATGTAGCAAGGGAATTTAATTTATTCTTTCTTCTGTTTAACTTTCTGATACTTCAGGCAATTTTTATGACGACAAATACACTGCATTCGTGCGTAAAAATCAGAAGAGTTGATTGCACAATTATATTTCGGGCATTCTGTTTATGGGTTGAAATGATTATTCTATTCACATCGACATATACTTCTACTGTCCAGTAAATGCTTATGAAATATCCAATTTTTACGACGGATAACGAAATAGACAAACTGATTGGGTATTTTTAATTGATTTTTATCATTATTTTTAATAAATTCAAAAGATTCTTCTGTGAAATCACTGATGGTTGTTTCTTTGAAGCACCTTGTTAGTTAAGATTTCTCATCAGTTAAGTTCCTTTTGATATAACACAAATTGATATAGTATTGGAAACTGGATAGCGTTTTTGACTGTAATTGACTGCTTTTGATCGTGTGAGTAGGGTGTCTATCATTGGTCATAAGTGTTTGTATTCTATCATGCGTTTTATGTGTTGTGACATGATCAGTAATGCCCAGGTTGCGTCTCGAGTGTTGGATAAGAAAGGAAGGTCAATGGATGAAGTTGTAGAGTCACACAGATTGAGATGGCTGAGGCATTCTTCACGAATACCTCTCCAACGCCTTGCCAAATGTCCGGTTAAACTGACATAGGATTATGTTGCGAAATTCATGGTCATGGTAAAATCGAAGCTTGGTATCATTCTATAAAACCCTCGATAGTTGTTTTTTAGCCACGTGTGGATGTCTAAATTTTCGAATGTCGTATGCATTACTGTATAAGAAAAGCCTATTCCAGTGTTTATTCATGAGAATTCATAGTATTTGTACAATTGGTGTTTTCAAGGATGTAATTAAAATGCTGGTGAATAATTGTTTTGATAACAGATATCTTAAAAAATGTTAAACCGATGTAGAAGGCTGTTTTAGAAATTACGATCTGTTTATTTCCCAAGAAAAATGTCTTCATCAAATAACCATGTCAGTAGGCATACATTGATGGCTGAATCCAGTCACACTAGCAGAATTCACCAGTTCGTGTGCAAAATATCATAAATGATATTGTACGCAAAAAAACAAACCTTTTCGTAGATTCAAATTTTAGATTAACCATGTACTACCTTGATAATTGTAAATAGTCAGCAGCGTTGTGAATAAATATATCCACCGTAAGCACAGTCAGCCGATACTGTATTTCAGTTAGTCTAGGTGTGGTATATCTCATAAATTTGCACGTTGTACTCCATTCAAGGGGTTGCAGAGGAATATCCACGTATAGGTATAAGAAAGGTGACTCGTTCACATGCAGTGTAATGCATCTGTCCTCTAAGCTGCTGTTACACCAGAATTACGTAGAGAACTTGAATAAAGTACTTGTATGTGCAGTGTTAGCTGACAGACAGTACATGTACAGCGAAATGACTGTAATCTAGAATGATCCTGCATCGATGTAATGGTCGTTAACTCTGAAGTTGGGCATAGAGACCTGTATTATCATCAAGCCTGGCAGTTATTCACTGCAAAATCAGTGGAAGTAGGTAGTTTTCCAGGTTTCTATTTATCAGTGCCACCAAGAACAAAAAGATACACGAGATCTCATTAATAATGAACAGATGAGTGAAACTCACTTAAATCTATCCATAAATATGAGACTTACATGCGAAAATTTTGTTTTCTCATAGCGCCACAGTTAGATTTAGAATTTATTACTCAGTATGAGGTATAATTTAAGACAACAGTGAATTTCAGCTCTCGAAAACAAACGCATTTCCGAAATAGTTCGACTGTGCACCTCGCAGTGAACTATACTTAGTACTGCATTATTCAGAGACATGTGTTTCATTCCATAAACCTGAAAACCAGGATATTTAAATAGGATATATGCGTAGCATAATTACCGCATGCATTTATTCCCCTTGATAAATTTGAACAAAGTAAGAACTACAGTGACTGGTACAGAATAACATGGTACCATCATTTATTTCGTCGGCTTCCCATCATCTGCTCACAGCCTAAATAAATTTTGAGGTTCAAGTACAAAAACGTTCAAACATACTTGCAAATTTTACATGTCAGTTGACAGGAAGTTTCATAATTAGTAAACAGTGCTCAGAAGATTGCGCTTATATAGTTTTCACACAGGCAGTTCAAGTTAAAACAAAATAAATGTATGCAGAAAATGGTAAAGGAATTACATAATAAAGATGGGATGTGCGTTAGATGCATAGTGACTAATAAGTTGGGTAACAATGTACTGAGTTGAGCTCAAATCGTAGAAACAAGAGACAAGCAAAATTACAGATTATAAAATGGAGGGTGAGGTTAAAGACAAAGATTACGTAATCAGATGAGAGAAAAAAAGGCATCCAGTTACCAAGGCAAGGAAAGACTAATAACTGATTCTTTCTGAACACATAGATCTGGTTTCAAGCGTTTGATAGAAATCGCTTCAGCAAACTTGAGGAGAATCGAGCTCCTTTGTCTATTGATTATTTTGAACGACTTTTCGACGTCCACTTCATGACCCGTGTCGAGGAGACGTCTGATAATAGCGCTGCTATAAGAGTTTGTTCCCTTGAGACGTAGGCTTTTCGGCACATGTTCAGAAAATCGGAGGTGTGCCCTTCTTTCTGTTCTCTCAATGTTACTGCTCCCGCAGATACACGTAAATTAGTATACACAGTTGGAGGTAACATGAGAAGGATATCTATCGATTTTTGATTGTACCAAAGAGCAAGTTGTTCGATAGACGGGAACCAACTTAGCTGCAGGATAGGCTCTGGCTAGTGACGTCCTCAGTCTTCTGTTGACCATTTCTGCAATGTATTCACCTTTAAAATCTAGTTGAATGAAGTCAGGCTTTTTTTCAACCGTGATTTGTTTGGTATTTGGGCCTCCACATATTTGTTAACGAATTTTTGAGGATAGCCGTTGTTTTTTAGCGCCTTTTCGAGATTTGTGAATTCTTCCTCTAGATTCTCTGCAGAGCGTATTCTCCTCGCTTTATAGTACAGAGTCTTGACTAGTGCTCGTTTATAGCTATTTGGACAAAATCTATTAAAATGTAAGTATTGTCTATTCCATGTGGGCTTTCGGTAGATTGACCTCTGGAGACTACCATCTTCTAGGCGTTTTATGGCGACGTCAAGGAAAAGGAACTGTCCATCATTTTCATGTTCCATAGTAAATACAATATTTGTATGTGCATTGTTGAATAGTCTGAGTAGGTAGGAGGCATGACTTTCGTTGTTGCATACTACAAATGTGTCATCGACATATCGACAATAGGAAGTTGTTTGATCAATTGCATGCTTCAGCTCTGTTTTCTCAAGGTTCGACATAAAGATATCTGCTAAAACAGGGCTAAGTGGACTGCCCATTGCTACACCAACTATTTGTCGGTAAAGAGTGTTGTCAAACTGGAATTGTACACCCATGGTACACATTAGCAGTAGGCGTGTGAATTCCGGCTCTGGTAGTGGGAGATGATCAGACTGTTGACAAATGATCTCAATGGTTTCAGTGATTGGGATCATTGTGAACAAGGAGGTTGCATCAAATGAAGCCATGAACTTATTTGAAACGTTCATGTGATTCACGCTTTCAGCAAAATGAAATGAGTCCTTTATGGTATGCGCGGCTAGCCTTTGGCGAATGGGTTCCAACTTCTCCGCAAACCAACGGGCAACCTTATGTTTGGGAGAGTTGATCATCGAAAGTATAGGTCTCAGAGGGACTTCTTTCTTGTGTGTCTTTGGAAAGCCATACATATATGGCAAGCGGGACACTTGGGGTTTCAGTTCATTGTACGTGTTGTTGTCAGTCAAATTATTCTTTAGAAGATCTTTCAATAAGTTTGTGATGCGTTTTTCAGTTGCATCTGTCTTGTATTTCTGGCAGTCGTCGACTTCGAACCTCGACGGATCATTGAGCACAGTTTTCATCCTTGAGATGTAGTCATCTTTATCCATCACTACCACTCCTGAGCCTTTGTCAGGTTGCAGTATGACGGTTTTGTCATTATTTCTGAGAGCTTTCAATGCTTTTTGATGCTCGTCAGAGAGGACTATTGAATATGACGTTGGTGAGATGAGGTATTGATTTGCAACGTCGACCAGCTTAGATTTGAACTAGCTCTTCTTGTCCTCATCAACTGGAGTAAGATCATTCAGCTGATAGAATAGGTTTTCGAATTTAGCTGTGACGTCGGTTCAATTGACAAAGTTATTCGGGATATGGAAGTTAAATCCTAGGGAAAGCACTTCCATTTCAATGCGGCTTAAATTCAGATTATAAACAAACTCCTCAGGATTTTCTGGGAAGACTTCATATATTTTTTCCTTTGTCAGGGATTTCGTCAGGGTTTCATAAAAATTTGCACAGGTTTTCTGTTGAAGCTCTTGAATGAAATTGATGAATTTGATCCGGCAAACTATGTTCAAACTATTGACGACACCGTCAAAGGATCTGGCTTCATTTCTCAATTTTGCAATCAGAGATTCTGTTGATTCAATATGCGATTTCGTAATGCGTAGGAGGTTTTTGAGCAAGGGTAGCAATTTGCAAGTACGGAGTGACTTGATGAGATGCCGAGGAATATATATGTTATAGGACTAAGAATTCTAATTAGTTAATCATTCTTCATCAATTGAAATTAAGTAGAAGTTTTTCAGACTCATTCCTCTGTTTTAAGATTCAGAGGTTGAACTGATAGACACCGTTTCTATGTAGGCTGCTTTGTTTAGCTATGTACTGCAGTAGGTGTGAAACTTAGTTCTTTGATTACATGGATCTATATGTATCTTCAGGCATTACTGTGGCGTATCAAGTTAGCAGTTATTTCTGTTCCAAAAACTCAAACCTATGCATATGTTCAACAAAACCAAGTTATTGAATTAAAAAGATATATGCTGTGTTCAGAGATAATTTGAACATTATATTCGTATAAACAATTACGGGCAGCTAACACCTAGCCAACACTCATTTGAGAAATGAGAATTAATGGTAGATTTTGATCAAGAATGTGACCCAAATAGTGTCCTGCAAGTTTTCAGTGATAACCATTCAGACACCAAATTCGTAACTACAGCAGGAACCAAACGAAGAATCACAAGGCGTTCAACTAACAAAGACGTCTAATGAGACATTTAGAGGATGAGTGTGTAGCAACCCTACGCGGGACTGCCAGTTGATTAACGTTTACAGTTGGGTTTCTGTGCGAAACAAGCGAAGCCTGATAATATCTTTCTCGTCGACGATCCGAAGAATCTACAGTCTTGAATACTTA